AAAAAAAAAAAAAAAAAATCTCAGACGAGATGAGTGCCCCACCATGGCAAGTTGTCTATGAGAAACACTGAAAGCCTTGGCTTCATGTTAGCTCAGCTGAGTTTTGCTCCATGCATTTTTGGTTCCCCAAAGACTATTTCAGTTCTGAAAGTCCACATCAGCATGGGACGTGCCGGGCCCATCGGTGATCTGTAAGTGTCCAGAGGCAGCATAAAGGCTGGTCTGTGTAGATATGGATAACCTCGAGTTTGTGAAAGGTTTTCTACTAAAATCATAAAGTGCCTTGGTGATCCTGATAAAAACTGAATTATTTACAGGTGGCTTCAACAATTAACTCCCAGGTTGACACATCTCTGCTGTGGGGTTAATATTTTACACCAAACCTACTTTAACTCTTGCATTTTTGTGCACACCTGGCTTCTCTGGTCCTTCTCTTGTAAAGTAGTTGCCAATTTTCCTTTTTTATTTTTTATTTCAGCAAATAACAAAATGAGCCGTATTTTTATTGGTCGCTTGAGCCCGCACGCCAGAGAGAGAGATGTGGAAAAGTTTTTCAAGGGATATGGACGGATTCGAGAGATCAACTTGAAAAATGGATTTGGATTTGTGGTTAGTATAAAAACTTTTAGCGTTTTGATCCAGCGTTGCTTTTTTTAAATGAACATTTTCTTTGCCAGGAGTTTGATGACCACAGAGATGCTGATGATGCCGTGTACGAGTTGAATGGGAAGGAGTTGTGCAGTGAAAGGTAAATATTAGTTTTTAAAAATGACTTCATGACTTGAAGCCAGATGTTTGTTCTGCTCGTACATGAGGTTTATCTATTTAATGTACTTATTGTCAGGGTTACCATTGAGCATGCTCGCTCCAGGAGAGGAGGAGGAGGAGGAGGTGGCGGAGGAAGAGGAGGAGGAGGAGGTGGCGGCGGCGGCCCTGGAATGGGACGTTTTGGAGGTGGTGGTATGGGTGGAGGAGGAGGAGGAGGAGGAGGTGGTGGTGGTGGTTATCGACGTAACAATGCCAGGTGTGTAAGACCTAAATCAGTCATTTAGCTTTTCATCTTCGTTTGTTTTCTCTTTTAAAACCAGGGTTTGATTTTCCTGTCTCCATTTTAATAATTTTATAAACATTTCTCAGAACATTGTCTTCCAACCAGGCAAAAAGACAAATCTGAGTTTCAAAACAAGGAACTATTTTTCAAACAAAGGGCCCAAATTTTAGAAAAAGGTGACACCCCTACCAACACATGTTGTTGCTTAAACTGCAGCGTTTCCCTGACCATTATGGCCCAACCACCCCAACAGAACCCTGACACCCCAGACAAGTCTGGTTTATTGTCCATCAGAAGCAGGAGGTTGTACCTCACTGAAAATCACGTTTTTCTACTCACAGTCCCCGCTGTGGCCCCATCTTGAGCTCTGCTCCCGGGCAGAATGAGCTTCTTGTAGGGTATGCAGCAAGCGTCGGGTGATTAGTCAGAAATTTGTGGGCATGTTTTTTTTTTATTTTTTAATGTAAAGTGGCTATAATCAGCTGATTTTTGAGAGCAGCATCTGCTGAGGAGCAGCAGATGGTGTGAGAAAATGCAGCCAACATTACAGCTGTTCCAGCAAAAATACTTAAGAAAGTTGAATCAAACTTCCAAATAAAACAGAATTCCCCATTGATGTCACTTCCTGTTTCACTTGTGCTGCCCAGCTGGTCGAAGCAGATGGCCGCTTGTCCTGAGCCTGGTTCTGCTGAAAGTTTCTTCTTATGCCCCTTTTCCATTAGTACCGGTGAGGGAGTTTGCCCTTTCCACTGTCTCCTTTGTTCTTGCTCAGAACGGGAGACTGACGAAATGAAGACCCAACGCATCTGCTGGCTTCCTTAGAAACTTTTACTAATTGACTTTTTATATGTGAATGTTTTTGTGCAGTGCCCTGAGACAACTTCTGTTGTGACTTGGTGCTTTAGAAATAAACTGAATTGAATTGCTGCAACGAGGTCAGAAGAAAATATGCCAGTGATGCTGAGCTGGGCAGGTGCTGTCAGGTTTATGACTTATTGTGCATTGTAGAAATAAAGGCAGGTGTTTTTAGACCTGACCATGTTTGAGCTCCACTGCAGGAAGGCTGCTCTGGCACAGCAACTCTAAATTTATTTTGTTACTTATTAAAACATGCCTACCTCTAAGATTCACAAGAACATTGAGAACCACCACAGAAGTTTCAAAACATTTTGGGGACTTCCTCACAAATGCTGTCCAGTAGTCAGCCCAGGTTTCTGGCTCTACAATCAAATCAGCTAACGAAGTTTAAAATAAAAGTCTGGTGTTCCTCTTTTAAAAAGAAAACACGATCCAAGTACTGACTCATGTCTCAACCGACAGACGGAGTTCTCATGGGAGGTGTGCAGTCTGACTCTGGACCATAATCTTTATAGACATGTTCATTTTTGTGTTCCTGCGCAGGTATGGCCCTCCTGTGAGAACCGACTACAGGCTTATTGTGGAGAACCTCTCATCCCGGATCAGCTGGCAGGTAAGATTAAAAAATGATCTGAAACGAAGTGTTGTCTTCTAGTAGTTTTGATTTCATTAGCTGCATATATTTTTAACAAGTTTATTTAATAATAAAGTACTCATGATTAGTAATTGGCCAGTTAAAGTAAAAATTCCCCTGTGTTTTTAGCATATTTTATTTTATTACTTGACCACCTCCCCATCCCCCCAAAAGAACAATTTATTGCTGATGATGAGCAGTTTATCTAAATTTTTTATTAGTAAACAGGTTAGTAAACTGGTTTCATCTATATCAGAGGTAAAATAAACGCCCTCCACTGGGGCGTTAGAAATGTGTAGCGCCCTCTGCTGGTTGTATTTCTGAATGGTGTCCATTTGGTGCCTCTCCTTACACGCAGTTGCTGCTGGTCTAAAGTCTTGGCTGGGCCCCGTAGCGGGTGAAAGTGGTCTAGCGCGGGATACGGTAGCCTTAGGAGGGCCGTAGCCACAGTCTGGAGGTTCTGTGGGCTGGCATCCCCAACAGCTGTAACCCCCCTCAAATCCACGGTCCCCTACAGTCTCCCATTTGGGTCTTTTTCTGTGGCCGATGGAGCAGGGGGTTGTTGAGTCGGGCACACAGCGCACCCCTACTTTCTCTCTGGTGGTTCCTTTCTTGTGGAGGCCGGATGCTGAGTCAAGGCTGTGAGCGTTTCTCGAGAGCGTTGCTCGAGGGCTTTACACTGCATTGGTTCCATTTGGTATTTGGACAAGTGGCTCTATGCTAATGTCTTCCTGGGTTTTCGATGGTAAGTAGCCTAAAACTCGTGATTGGGTCTTTGTAGGGTCGGGTGATAAAGGGGTGGAGAGTTACAGTCTCCAAAGGGAATCGTGTAAACAGCTGACTTCTTGTTGAGCCAAATTAAAATTACATTAACAAATAGAACTCAAAAATAAAGTTTTTATCCATTTTTCTTTATTATTTTAGTCCTCTAAATCTAAGCAAACACTGCCTTATCCTACAAACCTGTTAGGTTTGCAAAATTTCAGAATTTAAATCCCCATATTCACTTAAAAAATAATCACTTGTTACCTGTCAAGCGTTTCGTTGTGACATTTTAATTTGGTTTGCTATTAAAGGTACTCGTTGCAAAGTAATAAACCGAGTCTGCACAATCCACCAACGTTAAGTCAGGTCCTCAGGATGGTTTCTTCTTTTTGAAACGTTTTATCTTTCATCCAAAAGACTTCATCAGTCTGAGGACCCGCAACAAACTCAGTCTTATAAATAGCACCTTCACATAGTGGGTCAACCAGTTTGTTGGTGCTAAGATGGTTTCTGGAGTCTGCCCTCTCCCCCGTCGACTCACTTGAGGCCGTCATGGCCAAAGTGGTTCAAAATATCTTGACTCATGCTCAGTAATCCAGGTAGAAAAATCCAACAAAGTTAAGTCAGTTGCTATTTACCTGGATGACTAAGCCTACAAACTTTTTTTTAAGTTAAGTCAGGTCCTCTGGACGGTTTCTTTTTGTTGAAACATTTTTCTTCTTTGATTATTGAGCATGAACCTTGATAAGTCTGCACAGTATTATTCCCAGGTGGTTAATGTGTCCTAAAAGTTTTTTTTTGTCCTGATGCTAACTTTAAGAAAAAGGTCAAAATTGCTGCAAGTGTAGCAGCCTGAAAGAGGAGAATAAGAGTGAAAGATACTCTTGACACGTTGCTTTCATTCAGGCAGGTGCAGCGGGAATTTATTTACACTTTAAAGTATTTACATAACTAGAAAGAACAAGTTTCGTCTTTAAACCAAATCCAATATAGCAGTTAAATAACAAAAAAGAATATAAAACAGATTACTTCACATCTTTTACACATTTCTCATATTCTTGTTTAAATGAAAATAAAAAATAGAAATGTTCATCTGCCCTTTTTCCAAAACAAAGATAATGATAATGAATTTAAACATAAATGTAATCAAAATAGTCTTATTTTCAGTCTCTGAATGTATAATTCACTTAGATAAATAGTCTACACACGTCACGCACTAACGTCTGTCTCGTGGTGAGACATCGACGGTAGACTGAGCGGTGATAATTAGCATAAAACAACATTTTAAATCAGTCCTAAACATCAACCACTTAATGAAAACCACTCGACCTTTAGATGAAAATACTCTCAAACATTTATTAAACATTTTCTGTTGTGTTTTTAACACAACAATTATTTAATTACCTGAAAGAGAATAAAAGTGAAAGATACTCTTGACACGTTGCTTTCATTCAGGCTGGTGCAGCGGGAATGAAGCAACGTCAGAGCTCCCCCTCCTTCAAGCCCCACAGCCATGACTAATCGATCACAGACCATCAGAACTCAACAAGTCGATCACAGATAAATAACTCTTAACAGGAAAGTCCTTACCGAAAGTTATTTTAAACATTTTTAACAATGAATTTGTATTTTATATCACAGCTGTTCATTAATAGTTGATGCAACTATTCTTTTAAATAAATTTCAATGTATCACAAAAGCAGTGAACCGTAGTGGCCTCCACGAAGAGTTGTTTTGTGTTGGAACATTTTTACTCTTAAGATTAGTTGAGTATGCAGAAATAAAGATAAGTCGGGTTAAACTATAAACTTAGTGGTCTAGAGGTAGTTTTACAAAAACAAGTGAGACCTTCGTCCTTCCTCACTCTGTTTTTCCCATTTCATTTTCTTAAACATAAACCATTCTGCCATGTTTGATTAGCTGCACAGACTGCATCAGCCTGATGCAGGTCAGTCACATGACGTCATCGTCTTTAGACTGGTGTTTTATTTTAACCACATTTTAACTAGAGCTTGATTGATATGGAAATTTTTGCTATCACATATATCAATATTGGATGGGGAAGGTTAATGCCTAAGACTGCTGAATTTTTTAGCTTTGTCCACCTGCAAGAATCTTGAGTAAAACTCAACTTTTAAATCTGTTTTAACACTTGATGTCTTGAAACAGTCTTCGTAATGTGCATTCACATTTTCTATCCTCCACTATTCACCATAAAGTTAAAGTCCATCCATCCATCCATTATCTTTACCCGCTTATTCCATTTTGGGTCACGGGGGTCGCTGGTGCCCATGTCCAGCAATCACTGTGCGAGGGGCGGGGTACACCCTGGACGGGTCGCAAGTCCATCACAGGGACACATAGAGACAAACGAGACAAACAACCATTCACTCTCTCACTCTCACCTAGGGACAATTTAGAGTTACCAATCAGCCTAACATGCATGTTTTTGGACTGTGGGAGGAAACCGGAGTACCCGGAGAAAACCCACGCATGCACGGAGAGAACATGCAAACTCCACCCAGAAAGGCCCCTGGACCGGGGTTTGAACCAAGGACCTGCTCGCTGAGAGGCAGCAGCTCTACCAGTTGCGCCACCGTGCTGCCCTAAAGTTAAAGTGTGTTAAAAAATATAAAATTAAACAAAGAAACGCCCTTCCTGTTCATTGTTTAAACAGTCAGTCGCATATGATGATGGTCTAATTAGTACTGACTGCAGCAGAGTTTATTTCTTTTTTAGAAAAATAAAAGATTTCAGTCGATGCATTTCGTTGAGGACGACAAAGATAACGTTACTAACACTGATATATTTTACCTCTATGTTAGAATTATTGTTCTGGATAGTTTTACAACTTAGTTAGCTAAATGTTAGCTTGCTAACTTGAGAGGCACGCAGCTAACGACAAGTGGGTTGGAGGATTGAAGAGAATTTTATTATTGTTTTTGTTTTACAGATCGGTTAAAATAAACTTACCATGGTCTATTCTGCTAAATATGCTACACAGTATTGTTCCCTGCTTCGGCTGTGCTGAAAGTGAAACTTAAGTGAATGACCATGGCTTGAAATTTGTCTTCATTTGCCCTCTGCTGGATACATTGTACAATTATGTCTTTTGACAGTAAGGACATGGCTGGTTTCCAGTGTTTATATTGGCGCATAATGGGACATTTATCACTAATATTGATACCCAAACGTCTATATTGGCCTAAACTATCATCCACTACTGATAAATCGGTCAGGCTCTAATTTTAACATCAACGTATTTGAAAACTACTAAAGTAAATTCTTTCAAACTTCACAGTTTGATTCATTTCGGTAAAACTTTTTTATGTTTGATTTCATACTTTGCAGTGAGTACCTTTTTAAAAGACTAACAGACTTAAAAGACAAACCAGGTCGACCCAAAAGCATTTCATGTGGCTCATTTGTTTACACGACCGTTGCTGAAAATGGGATTGTATCCAAAAGTGAAAAAAGGTCAGCATTTGATAAGTATGTCATATTTTTTTTCTGCCTGCTCTTTCTCTCCAGGTTCAAAAAGCTCTCGGTAACAGGAAGTATTTCATTCTGTCAATTAAGTTTGAAATGTGCTTTTGAATTAGGACCTGAAAGACCTGATGAGAAAAGCGGGTGAAGTTACCTTTGTGGACGCACACAGACCCACTCAAAATGAAGGGTGAGTTTAGCTCTGTCAGCTGATTTTCCTCTTTTTATGTGGGGTGACGTACTAATGAGGGTTTGTGCCCGAGTACAGGGTGGTTGAGTTTGCTTCTCGCCATGACCTGAAGAACGCCATGTCCAAACTGAATGGGACCGAGCTGAATGGACGCCGGCTGAAGCTCTACGAGGACAGCAAGAGGTGACTTTGTTGTTTTAACGTCTGCTCCTTCAGATATCTATTGAAATAAAAGTCATTTAAGGGTCTTTAACTCTGTTGGATCTTTTGAGTGGTTCAGCATAAAGACTGAAAACAGGTGGACGGAGTCTCTCTGGGTCTACTTCTTTTTAGAAAACATTACGTTTTTTTCAGATGTGGAATAAGTTCAACTAGATAGATTTGTGGAGGAACTTTGAAGGAGCCTGCCATATGATGCTTCACTTTATCTTTTTTAACTCAACAAATGAATTTGTTCTGGATGTTCTACCCAGACATCCAGAACACGACATAATGACAGTTTGTTCCATATCTAATACAGATCAGACTGCTTGAAATATAAATATTTGATTTATTTACTTACCCTGTTGGGGAGTGGTGGCGCAAAGGTGTATATATGTATGCATGTGTATGTATATATATATATATATATAATTTTTTTTATTATTTTTTTTATCTTTTATCTAGGTTAGTTTCAGTGAGTCACAAGAACTCATTTTTAAGAGAGACCTGTTTTAGGGAAAGGAAGTCTGAGATTGTCATCAATGTATGTTCCCACTGTCTGTTTACACAGAAAACAATTAAAATAAAAAGTAGTGTTATAAAACAATAAAATCAAGGTGCCATATAAAACATGTAGGGGTGCACCGATCGCAGTTTTCTGGCTGATCACCGATCTCTAAAAAACCTGAACTGCCGTTTCTGATTTTGGTCAGTACTGATGTTTTTTTTTTTTTTTTTTATAAGCGGCACTGTCAGGCGTTATAAGGTCACAATGCTCCTTCAATTTTCCAATGTTATTTTACTGAAAAACATATCCTTGAACAATATCGTAGAAACAATACAAACTTGTTTTAACTGGCCATGAGGTAGTATAAATGAAGTTCAGACAATTGTTGTTAAAACAAAAAAAAAATCTGTAAAATCGGTTTCTCATGTAAGTATCGGCCAATCTCCCAAAATTAAGGTGCACCCCTAAAAACAAGGTAAAATACTAAAAACGGGAACATATTTGCTTTGATTTTTCCAATTATCTTATCAAATGTTTAAAATCTCTTAAAGAGATCAAAGTGGACAGCTTCAGATCTTGTTGCAAGATGTTCCAGGAAACAGGAGCAGAGTAAGAAAGGGCCTTTTTGTTGAGTTCAGTCTGCACGGAGGGGACGCTGCAGGTAATGATGTCCTGAGCGTGCACTTTGTGACTGCATGACATGTGGGAGGCGATAGAAGAAGGCAGCAGACTAAGGAGTGATTTAAAGATGAAGATGTACCAGTGTGAGAGTGTACATGTAGACAATGATGACCAGTGAGTACAGAGTGTAGTGGGTACGGTAGTTACAGCCAGTTATGAATCTTGGCACGCCATGGTAGACGGCATCCAACATCTGCAAGCAGCTGGCAGGGGCATTCATGTAAATAATGTCATCATAATAGATGATTGGGAAGAAAGTAGCAGCTACAAGGTGTTTCCTGGTATTCAGAGTTAAACAAGACTAGAGATGGTGGGCCTGTGATCGGAAGGTTGCCAGTTCGACCCCCCCAGACCGACAACATCAGAATGTTGATGGGAAAAGTGGAGCACCTACACCTGCCTCCACCCTGATTTGACCCACTCTGGACCCTTGAGCAAGGCCCTTAACGCCAACCATCTGCTCCCCCGAGTGTCCTAGATGCAGCTCTCTGCTCCACACAGAGGGCTGTGGTAGCTCGGTGGTCTGTGGTTGTGTCGGGAAGGACATCCGGCGTAAAAACAATCGCTAAGCCTTCGTGTGAGTTAGTTCACTGCGGCGACCCCTGAACGAGGGAGCAGCTGAAAGAAGAAAACAAATTATATTTACTCACATGAAAATGGCATTTGGTCTTTGATCTCCTGGATTTCACAAAGACGTATACAGATTATTTCATCGACCACATTCACACCACTCACATCAATCTCAACACAACAAGACCATTTCTGAGGCTTTTTTACCTCCAGGCATTTTGCAAGATAGGACAACCAGGTGTCCAATGAATGAATGAAGGTAATAAAGCTCTGCTGTCCCCTGGGGCTTCCATCCCACCTTAAACCTGGTTTCCTTTTATTTTGAAAGTGGGGGTTTGAATGTTTTGGGTATATTTTTAAAAAGCATGATGTCAGGATTACAGTACGTCAAACATAGGTGGTTATGATGGACGCTGATGGGAACAAAACGGGCTCGAAGGTGCAGAGTGTATGCATCGTCTCCTGTTTTATATACCTTACAATATAAAGGATCGTGAAATGTGGAAAAATAACAATAAAAAACAAATCCTGTACAATTTCATACAATGAGAAACCTATCTTTAGTGTTGTGTTATATGATGATGTGTCTTTGGACAAGTTACTTCCACTAGGAGCTCCATCATGGTTAATGAGTATGACCAGAAAACTTCAACTGTTTAGTACATTTACAGAAAGCAGCTTTTCAGTCAGGAGGTCTACCAGCTCTAAAACATCAAGTTTTTCTTTTTACCTCATCTCAGAACACAGTTCTTACCAGTTTATCAGTGTTTTTGATTTTTTATAAACAGGACTTGAACCTTGATTTAATGTAACATTGTTGAAATATTAGTATAGTTTTTAATAACATTATTGAAATATTAGTGTAGTTTTTAATAACATTGTTGAAATATTAGTGTAGTTTTTAA